TTAGGATGACGTATGTTTGTCATCGCGATCGACGACATTACTTATCCTCGAAGTCAATAGTTTTCGAGACAATCCTTAAATGAGATGTATGCACCCAATTTCGTCAACGTTGACGAAGGACTAGTAGTAGAATTTTCCCACAATGATATGAGTATGAATGAATTTTATATGAATTTTACAGAGCCTTGCTTCCTCAAAAGTTGTTCTCATTCCGGCTGAAGTTGGCTGCAGTTTCGACCTCGCCTCGGTCTTATCAACACCCCCGGCGGGATTCGAACAGTGACAGTGCAGACTGGGAGCTTGACACGCTAACCACTCGACCACATTGCCACGAGTGTCAGGCCTTTTTTGGCATATCATATTCTTCGGTGGGATTGTCGATGAAGCAAACGTACGTTTTGCCATAACAATCGACGACGTTACTTTATTTTTCGCATTTACGTATTGTTTCAAGACCACCAGTAAATCAGTAATATGACATGTATTCACCCTATTTCGTTGAAGGTGATGAACGACTGGTAGAACAATGTCCACTCAAATAGACAACTTAATCACACTCGTCTTCGCATCTTTTCTATCAATCTTATGAACACGTCGAAGAGCCCGTGGGGCCCAGGTCTCCCATGTAAAAAGGTGGAAATATCACATCTTCCATCAAAGCGATTTCAGGCCTTCATTGCTCAGTCGTTATGTGTTGTCTGCGGGACTGACGATGTAGCAACCTTTAGTCGATTTAATCCTGCAAATATCGATTTCAGTCTCAGCAACAAGTAATTAACTGTTGCAGAGGCGACTCGTTTCTGCTTACCAACCATCAGGCTTAAGGCGATGCTGGTAATAAATCGACTACTGTTGCTGCTGCTGTTGGTGTTGCCGGCAAAGAATGAGTGTAAAAACCGGAGAGAGAGAGCGACACCCTCTGAAGGAGGCACTTGTGAGACAAGACTGGCAAAAGTGATGACGATGGACGGATCTGCCTCGTCATCTGCTCGATCCACTTGACAATGCGAGTCTCGCCGTCCTCGCCTCCAAGACGCCTCCGGTACCGGATGGGCTGAGACCCTCAAGCTGGTCGAAACACCAGACGCCGGTTGTGGGACTCGAGTCCGGTTTGGGCATTTTCGAAGGTGGCCAGCTCGCCGGTTGGCGTGATCCGAATCAGCTCGAACATTCGGTGCCAAATCGCGACTCCAGGAGAAGGAGAAGAAGAAGAAGAAGAAGAAAAAGGAGGAGGAGGAGGAGGTGTCAAATGGGTCTGGTACACTTTGTCACAGTCTCCTCAAATACTCGCACCCTCGTGGAGTCTGACGGAGTCTGGCCGGTCTGCATTAGAAGTAACATTGGCCTTCGGATCTCAGACTCCCAACCGTCCCGTGAAGAAGGACACTTTTGGTACCTCTTGTTGATGTGCTACCCTAAAAGGGATGCCCGTTTCCGTGTCTTCGGTTAGGCCGGCTCCGCCGCCGCTTTAGGTCCGAGGCTGTGCAGCGATCGGATTGGTCGATTTGCGCGTCTTGGACCCCGCTGCGATCCCCACGCGACTCGAGCCCTCAGGCTGTGGCCTCCGAGACGGACACGTCAGCCGCCAGGTCACAGGACTGCAACAGCGTTGTTCTCCGTCGTCGGGTGGTGGCGATTCCGAGTCTGCATGCACCGGTTCAGGGCTCGAGGCCCGTTTCAGGTGAAGACGAGGCTTTGGCAGTTGCTGCAGTCTGGGCGGGAAATTCGTCGAGCATGGCGACGCAAAGAGACTGGCTCGAATCCCGTCGACCTCGAGGGGAGACTGCGAAATTCGCTTTCCCGAGCATATGGGAAGAGTGGTTGGGTTTCGTAGACACTTTTGAAATAACATTGCAGTGGAAACGCTCAGTTCGCACGAAGGAACATGAGGCAAAGGTTCGTTGGTTGGTCTCACAGCAAGACGACGATCGAATCATTCGGTCTGCGGTCGTTTGGCTTAGATACGACCTTCACGTCAACGTCCGCATGTCATCTGGCCAACATCTTTAGAGCTAGGGCTCACTTTTCCAAAAGCTTCCAGCTAATACTAAGTCGAGACAACTATCTGTCTCTATTTCACATACTCAAAACTAAAAATGAAAATATATCAAAGGTATGAAGACCAAGATGGTGTGGTCTTTTGTGTGGTCACAGTCTCCTTTCGTTGTATAGAAGTTTTTTGACCTTGTTTTTCGCAACTCGGTCATGTTGGTAGGACGACTTAGAGGTACGCACCTAATCCGGAGTCCATTGTATGCATCATCATTTCCAAAGTTGAACCGTGGACGTGGTACAATCCCATTCGTAGCGCCATACAACAA